TCAGACTCATTGAGATTTGTCTGCCTCTGCCTCCTGAGTACGGGGATTAAAGGTATACACCACCACTGCCCAGATTTGCCCCCATTTTTTCTAGTGCTGGTCTGTGTTTCTGTGTTGATGTGTTGCTCCTTGCCATATTGTAGAATAGTGCCAGTAATAGAAAGCTTGTGTACCAGACTGAACCTTGCGCCTGCTAGTCATGTGCTCTTACCAACTTCTTGGACATCCTCATTCTTCCCAGCACTTCTGTGCCTGCTGAAATTCTAAGAAGGAACAGTTTTGACAGTGCTTTTCTGCTTAACATTGTTTTGGCACACTGATGCAAGCTGTGCTTCAAACTATAAAGTCAAGAAATAAAGTTGTTACTTTTTATAAGATTGCATTTCTCAACACCCTTTAACTTAGAGCCATTTTTCTGACTTGCTTTCTTAGAACTGTTTCCACTGTTTCTATCTTACATGTATTTTAATACATTTAAAACAGCTTTGTTATTTGACAGCCTGTGTTCATACTATTTTTAGATGACTTTTTATAATCAGAAGTGCTTCATTTGTCAACTGTTTGTCTTTCAGCTCTTAAACTCTGTGTGCCTTGTGTGTTTGTCCTTATGGAAGCCACGGCTGAGAGTGTCATGTGCTTCATTCTATTTTAAAAGCTGGTCGGTCCTATTAGAGCAAATATAATCAACATTTCTCTTCTCTCTCCTTCTCCTTCCTCCCCTTCCACCTTAAATTTCCAAGTACTGAGATTGTTGGTATTGGTAGAGACTTTTTATTGTTTTTTTGATTTTGTTTTTTCATTTGTTTTAAGACAAGATCTCTGTGTTGCCCTATCTGTTATGATCTACCATGCTGTCTTTGAACTCAGATATCTGCTTACCTCTAACTTGCCATACTGGCCCTAAAGGAGTGCACCACCAGAAGAGCGTGTCAGATGCCCAGGGACTACAGTTACATGGTTGTGAACCTCCTTACATCAAGAATAGTTTTGGGGGCTGGAGAGATGGCTCAGCGGTTAAGAGTACTGACTCTTCTTTTAGAGGTCCTGAGTTCAATTACCAGCAACCGCATGGTGTCTCACAACCACATTGAATGAGATCTCGTGCCTTCTGCTGGCGTGCAGGCAGAAGACTGTATACATAATAATAATAATAATAATAATAATAATAATAATAATAATAAAAGAATAGTTTTGGGAAGGAGTGGGTATGTAGCTCAGTGATAACACTTGTCTCATATGCTCAAGGTTCTGAGTTTAATCTTAAAAATAGCTAGTTTGAGCCTAGATAACTTATTTAAATTATGTATTATTTTTATATAGTATTTTTTAGTCATTGATAATATATTTGTACACAATGCTTTGTGTTTTTTAATGTAAAATTTATTTTTATTTTATGTTCATTGGTGTTTTGCCTGCATGAATGTCTGGGCGATGGTGTTAAGAAACTCTGGAACTAGTGTGAGCAGCCATGTGGGTGCTGGGAATTGAACTCAGGTCCTCAAGAAGCACAGCAAGTACTCTTAACTACTGAGCCATCTCTCTGGCTTCTGATTTTTGGGTTTTTTGTTTTGTTTTGTTTTGTTTTGGGGACAGGGTCTTATTATATAGCCTTGACTGTCTTGGAGCTCATTGTGTAGACCAGGTTGGCCTCTAACTTACACAGGATTACTTTCTCCTGCCTCCTAAATACTGGAATAAAAGGCCTGCCGTTATACTGGACTCTGTACACAGTGTGTTGATCAAATTCGCCCTTACTTCCTCCCCATGTCTTCCAACCTAATGCCTTTTAAAAAAATCAATTTTAAGTATTTTTTCCTTTATGTATTATTTTAAGGCTACCATACAGCAGTATATTCTATTTTTCATAGTAACATACCTCTAGGAAAAATTTGTTGTTTTCCTTTGGGGTTGGGGGGGGGGGGGGGGGGGGGGAATAGCCCAGGCAGGACTCTGGCTCCCAGAAGTTCTGCCACCACACCTGGCCTGGTACTTGTTTTGATTATCTGTACCACCATCCCACTAGTGATGGTACCCAGGGGTTTGTACTTCCTAGGTAAGTGTCGTACCACTGATAAATACCCTAGCCTCACTTTCTGTATTGATTCATCAAAGAGGTTTTTGTTGTTTTTGTTTTTGAGACAGATCTTGCTGTATAGCCCAGGGTGACCTCAAACTCAGTCCTCCTGCCTCTGCCTACCCAGGGTTGGGATGACAGGTGTGTGTCATCACACTTGGCTTTCAGAGGGCTATTTGAATTAGTAACCCCATGGTTAAGATCAGTTAAGTCTTCTGTTCTCCCCTTTCTACATTTACTACATAAAAATAACACATTCTAGACTCTGGAGTCTCTTATTTATGAATGATCTGGATCCAAAATTTGATAGATAATGAAATGATGAAAGTAATTTCCCCAGTGACCTGTCGCTGAAGTCATTTTCATCAGTTATGATCAATAAACACTGATTATTAACATGGTATTTGCAGAAAGATTGTATTTACTTTTAAACCATTCTAGTTTTAAGAATTAGAGAATAAGTAACTGAATTTTGTTGATGTTCTTGATAGTATTTCTGCCAAAAGTTGTGTTTTTGCTACAGGGATTTTTCAAAAAACAAAATATAACCAATCTCTATAGAGCAATTACAAAAATTCACAGGCTTGGAGAGATGGCTCAGCAGCAAGTATGAGTTAATAATTGATGTTTTCTGTGGTGCCTAATAAATAATTCTGGGCTACTTACCAACTTTCATATATATTATCTCAGCTAATTCTTATAGTAGCTTTATGAGAGGGTAGGTATTATTTTTCTCAATGAAAAGTTCTAAGCTGTAATAGTACACTCCTAGGAACAGTGGAATTAGACTTCAGATTGAGATTTGTCTGACTCTTAGGCTCAAACTGAAGCACTGTGTACTCCATGAACTTATTTTTTAAGTTTCTGAGAAAAAAATGGCCTGTGAGAGACCCTATTCAAAGCTTAGTCCCTCTTTAGATCCCCTTTTAAAAATTAGCAATTTGAGTTATCTATCAGTTTAGTATCATAAATTTCCAGCAATTAGAAAATATGTAGTGATTAATCAATCCCTCTAAAAAATTAGTAAGATATGGTCTAGTAGCATCTAGCCTTAACCTTTTATTTTATTTTTAAACAGAAACATTGTTCCCTTCATCTTGAGAGATTACAAGAATCACAAAAGGTCACTATACAGATATCACAGGTTAGAGAGATTGTACCCTTTTCTGAATAAAGAGCATACATTCCATGGTACAGGCCTTATGTGGAAGAAGGGGTTGGAATTGACTTTATGTGAATGAAATCACACTCTACAACCCTGACTCTGTAACAAGTTAAAGAAGTAGGTGGTGGTGTTAACTTCCTGTGCTTGTTTCTAGAATGAAGGCAACACTTAGCTATGCAGTCTTTAATAACTTGCTTTTTGGAATAGTTTCTGATGTTAGGATAGTTTCTCTCTTGGGGTAGGAGGTTATGCTATCGAACTAGTAAAATCAATGGAAAGTTAATGTGGGCACAGACATTTGAAGTGACAGGGTCATATCTTCCTTTTCCTTAGAATTTACCTTTAAAGTCTGAGCTTAAATTTACCAATCAGTTTTCTTCTAAACCTACATGTTGATTCTCTGACTTGTTACTAACTGGTTCTTCGAAACTGAAAGGAGATCCAAGATCCTTGCTGTTGGTTCCCCTGATAAAAAGCATGTATGGAGTATTGTAAACAAACAGAAAGAAGTTTAAGTATCCCTGCAAATTTGAAACAGCCTCATTAGAAGCCCTCAGATATTCTGGAGTAGTTAGAGAAAATTTTATCCCCACTCCCCCCTGTTTTTCACTAGACAAATTTAGATGACCGGTAAACTGTTTCCTAATTGTCTGGCTTTTTGTGTGAGAGAGAACAGAGCTGTTCTCTTGGATTAAAAACAATGTTTCCTGATGTGGACTTTGTTTTCTCGTGTAAAAAAAGTCACTCAGTGAGTTACTTTCTGGTTCCCTCTCTCCCTAGGAGTTTGAAAGTGAAAGATGATGCTTATAGCAGTTAGTTAATAACAAGATTGCAGTTTTCTTTCTAGGTTGAAGTTACATAATGTATTGGGTGCTTATACTGAGCTTGTTTTATCCTGTTCCTTGAAGCTTTAGTTTTTAAGCTTTCAGAGAAATTGGTCAGACCCCTGGATTTGAAGAATTTCAAAGGAGTTAATGATAAAATGTCTAAAACATTAATTCCCAGTCCTGCCCTTGAAATTTTTTTGTGTCTATTTGTATTTGTCATACTGTAAGTAGTCAGAGATTTGTTTTAAATTTCAGTTAATTACACCCCCTTGCTTTGTTTGCATTTTACCAATTTTAACAGTGGTCTAGTTGGTATCTTAAGTATTCCATTTTGGTCATGTATTTAAACCAGTGTCCATGGCCTTTTCATTGAAATTCATGTGAATTTTTCATTTTGCTCACCTAATTTTATGAGTGGCTGTTGAAACAGATGGTTGTTGTTTTGGTAATTGTTACTAGCAGTAAAATGCATTGGAGGGTTAAAGAACACTTTTAAGTTGATTGACAAGACTTATACCAGTTGCTGGTAGAAGCACACCACATTTCATTATATCCCAGTTTATATTTTAATGTAAAAGCACTGTAATAAAATTGCTATTTAGAATTTTCAGCTGTTGGGGCTTACATTGTGTGTGTTAAATATGTTCATTGTTGCCCACTTTGTAAAGATTGAAAGGAATTTATCCTTTCTCCAGTATAATGTTTTCTTCGATTTTATTTGTCATAAAAAGTGAGCAAAATGAGGGCAGAGGAAAAAGTAGATTAAGAAATCTAGGTAGATTATCCTTGTAATTCTGTCAGGCAAAGAGAAGGCTTAGTTATTACATGTAAACATAATACCTGAATGTATGTTTCTTTGAGATATGGGTTATAGAATTAACTGTGTTCTTTAAATATCCCAATGTAATTTATCAAATGGGTTTTTTTCCTCCAGTTCTGTAGAAAATGTTCTCAAAACACTCGTGAAAAGCTGCCGACCGTAAGTAGCTCTCAATTTATAAAGCCTCTTTGTTTACCTCTGGGCCTTCCCCAACTTTAGTGTACTTTGAAGAGGAAGCTAAAGGTATAAATAGTTTCTGATATTGAAGTACTAGTCATTGAGCACAACACAGTGTTCCAGCTCCTGATTGAATTTTACTTCTTTTTTTAAAAAGTTGATGTGTGTGTAGACGCCAGAGCATGATGTTATGAATCTGTTTTTTTTCCTTCCATCTTTACCTAGGTTCCAGGGATTGAATTCAGGTAGTCAGGTTTGTATGGCAAGTACTTACTGAGCCATTTTGTTGATCTTTAAATTTTTAATTGGTATTACTTTGCTGAGAACTGATTCTGAAAAATTAGGAAGGGGAATTTGCTATTTAGTAAGGTCCTTGAAAGTAGAACATAGTTCATTGGTGGTAGTTCATTTGTTTTAAATTGCAATTTGCTACATTAGTACCTGGCACAAATTGCTTGGTGAATTCAATAGAAATGTTATTAGAAATGTAATTTTATTTTTCATATTTTAAGTTAACAAAGGTTTAACAAAATTGTGATAAGAGCGAGCTAAATCACAAGGGTGCTCCTGGCCTTTTTACAGAATTACAGAATATCAGTGCCTGTAGAAACATGTCTTCCCACTCCCCTCTTTTATGAGGAGGACTTGTGGTTCCACGAGGATGCATGGTACCCAGAGACCCATCTAAAATGTCCCAGAGATTCCTGGGTTGATGCTTCTGTATTATTGTTACTGATTATTTCTGACAGAGACTAGAATTTTATAGTTGCTGTTACTTAACACAAAGAAATCAAACCATAACCATGTTGAACTTTGTTGAGCAGTGCTTTTTCAACCTCAAAACATCTTTGTGGGGGATCTGCTAAATGAAGAGAATTACTTCCTCCTAAATGTGGTGGAGTATTTATTCTGTCTTTGTAAACATGTATTCTTATTGTTCGATACATTGACGTTTCTAGTATGGTATCTTATGAAGTATATTCTCTTTTCTCATGAGACTCTTCTTTTTTGCTGATGGGAACATATATAGGAATTCATGTGCTAGCAAGTGATGTTGATTCTCTAGGCCTTTTCTCTGCCTTCTGTCAATCATATATATGTGTTGTAGAGTTTTAATCCAATGGTCAGATACATGGAAACCTTTTTTTTTTTTTTTTTTTTTTTTTAAAGATATTTTCCCGCAGATGCAACAGCAGAGATGTTAGAAGAATGGCGGCCTTTAATGTGTCCTTTTGATGTAACAATGCAAAAGGCCATCACTTATTTTGAAATATTTCTTCCTACCTCCCTTCCTCCAGAACTGCATCATAAAGGTTTCAAGTAAGTGTGAACATATTTGACATACTCTAGAATATAGCAATACCAAGAATTAGCAAAGAGCTAAAAAATGTGCAACTCATTGATTCTGTTTATTATATTTCAAGTATGAAGGCTAAAACAGTTGAGCATATCATTGTAAAGAAAGTCATGCTTATATGACAAGCCCATGAAAATGATGGTTTTAAGAACAGTGATATGGGAAAATGTCAGAAAAGGACAGAGGCAAACGACATAAAGGAGAAAATTGTAACAGTTGTTAAATAATTGTGGACAATAACAATTCAGGACATTTAGTACATAAGATAGCACAAATAAAAGGGACAGGGAATACTCAGATGAACAGTATTCCTTTGTTTCATTAAGTTTGAAATTTTCAGTGTCATTTTTTCTAGGTTGTATCATTATCAGTAAGAAGAATAAATTTATAATTACAAAGATTGCCTGGCTTTGAACCACTTTCTGTAGTCACTTGCTATTCATAACAGTGTTTTTCTTCTTCAGACTTTGGTTTGATGAATTAATTGGCCTTTGGGTTTCAGTGCAAAATCTTCCACAGTGGGAGGGGGTAAGTCTTCTTTTTCCCCCCCTTCTATAGTTTTAAATTTGGAGATAATTAGATCATTTATAAATAACTCCTGTTTCTCAGAATTTCTATTAGTAATGTTACACTTAATTCCTTTTTTTAAAGGTGTGTGTGTGTGTGTCTGTCTGTCTGTCTGTCTGTCTGTCTATGTGGATATATCATGTGAGTACATATACTTGAGGAAGCCAAAGGCTTCACATACACTAGAGCTGAATCTATAAGTTTCTTGGTTTGGTTTTGCAGTACTGGAACAGTCTTTATGGAGAGCTCACTTTGTAGACAGTGAGGTGCAGGTATCAGGTGCCTGTTTTTATCTCTGCCACTTCTGCCCAGCCACCAAAGACAATGTGATTTAGCACCAGGCTGGGGACGAGACCTGGCTCCGTCAGCACCACAAAACAACCCTCCCTCCCCCCCCCCCCCCCCCCCCAGCTAGGGTCACTTCCTGATGGCTGCATGTTCCCTGCAGCTCTGGCTCAGTCTACAGTTAGATCACAGTGGGCAGAAACAGCAGGAGGCAAAAAAAAGACTGGAGGAATAACCAGGCTGGTGACTAGACCGGTGCCACTTGAAATTTGATGGTAAACAGCTCTGGTCATAGGGAGAATAGCAGCAAGGCTTTTCTGTACAGTTATTTTTGAGCCACCAGATTGTGGATGGTAGAACCCATGTTCTAGCATCATGGAGCCATCTCTCCAGGACCATTTAGTTTTTTTCATCTTAATATTTTCTAACAGAAGTAGACAAGCATGCATTTTAAAACGCATGGCTGCTGTTAGCTTTCATTAGTATTTATTATAGGTGTTGTTGGACATTTGATGGAGTTAATATGTTTATATTTTCCTTTCAATTTTCATTGTACATAATGTTTTGTGGGTTTTTCCCCCCCTTTGAGGGTATTGCAATTGATTTCAAGTGGTTGGCATGAGTCAGATCTTAAATTTGCAAGTTTTTAAAACTCCTATCACTTTAAAAGTCCTATCACTTCATCTCCATTGGGCTCATTTTTTAGTTGATTCTTCAATTTGATGGATAAAGACAACTGTTTTCAACAAAAAAAAAGTATTGTCGCTGCAATTGATACTAGTATATGTGGCTTTTTAAAATTGCATTTGTTTGTTTGTTTTTGTGTGTGCATGCAAACATGTGGCAGTCAAGCACAGCCTGGGGGAGCGGGGGAGTACTTTCCTTCCACAACATGGGTCTTGGGAGTCAAACATGTCTTCAGACTTGGTAGCAAATGCCTTTTGCTGGCTGAGCCATCTTGACAGACCATGCATGAATGGCATTTATACTGATAACCTTTCTTTAATACGATCACTGAGAGACAGGTGGACACATTTAGTGTTTACTTAGATTTACTTAAGATTGACTAAAGTAACCCACATAATTAAAAGTGAATTATAACAATGTGAGTAAATGGACTAAGGTGATGGCTCCTTCCTTGGGTAAGAGTGCTTGCCGTACTAGCATGAAAATCTTAGTTCAAATCCTCAGCACCCAGGTTTTGCTGCTACAATCCTAGCAGTGAATATAGGGGGCCAGGGAGAGGGGGATTATTGGAGCTAAATGGCAGCCAAACTAGCTCCCCATTCAGTGAGAAATCATGTCTCAAGGAAATAAAACTGAGAGTGGTAGAGCAGGACACTTGTGGTCCTCTGGTTCTCATGGAAACACACATGCACATACATCACACACAAATGTAAGGTAGAAATGAAATGTTAACTACTCATCCCCAAAGATAACTCTTATTTTATAGGTATAGTATACATAATCACAATTTTCAAAATGATTTCTAAATCAGATACTATCTATGTTATTACATATTTTTCCCAATTATAATGTGTAAAATGATATATCTTTATTGATAGAGAAATATTTGATTAAGTAAGAGTTGGGAGCAAGTATCTGAAGAATGTCAAGTCCTGTGGGCATATGCCATATGCTTGATCATATGGTAGATGTATTGGTTATTCACAGACAAATGATTACTCCTGAAAATATCCATCTAAGTAGCATTATAAAGGCTAAGCAGCTTGTAATTTTGTACTTAGAAACATGTACATACATACACAGACACACTTAGGAATGTACATATATACATTCATATAAACATATCCATGTATAGTGAAAAAGAGGCCACATATTTGAAAGAGAGCAAGGAAGGATGTATAGGAGGATATGGAGGGAGAAAAAGAGGGAAATGATGTAATTACAATCTCAAAAAATGAATAATTTAGCCAGGCACTGGTGGTGCATGCTTTTAATCCCAGCACTGAGGAGGCAGAGGCAGGCAGATCTCTGATTTCCAGGCCAGCCCATTCTACAGAGTGCAAGGAGAACCAGAGCTGCTATACAGAGAAACCCTCATCCCTTAAATGAATGTGTGAATGAACGAACAAATAAGTAAATAAACGAATAAGTAGGGAGCCAGAGCTGTAGGGTTACTCTAAATATCCCTCGCTATCCTGAAAATACCAGCCCAAATTGGTGAGCTTCAGGTTCAGTGAGACATTGACCTTTGGCCTCTAAACCCCTAGCATGTATGCATTCATATAAACACATCAGAGAGAGAAAAAAAAATGAAATAAACTTACACTTGTAAGGCATATCCAACTATGGTATCAAAGTATTAATAAATGACTTTAAAAATAAAAAAAAAATCTAAATCAAACTATATACGTTGTTCAAATGATTGGTGAGAAAAGCAAGTGAGAAGCTGGGCGTGGTTGCATTGCACACACCTGAATCCCAGCACTTACAAGGCTGAGACAGCAGTATCATAAGTTCAAGACCATTGTACATAGTAAGAACTATCTCAAGAAAATAAGTAAATAAACATAAAAGAATAAGGATTATAACTGACATTTAAAAATAACAAATATATCAAATTAACTATCTTGTTTTTGTTTACTTTCAGCAATTAGTAAATCTTTTTGCTCGACTGGCTACAGATAATATAGGATATATAGATTGGGATCCATATGTACCAAAGGTAATTAGAACATTTGAATATTTGTATCATAGTACTAATATATGTGTAAAGGGGAATTTCTCTTAAAGATTTATTTATGTACTTTATGTATATGTTTGTTTTGTTTTGTGTACATTTGCACACCAGAAGGCATCGGATCCCATGGGACTACAGTTATAGATGGTTGAGAGCCACCATGTAGGTACTAGGACCTCTGCAAGAGCAGCCAGTGCTCTTAACTGCTGAGTCATCCCTCCAGCCCAGAATTTTTTTTAAACCCTAATGTCAGGTACTATATATGTCTGACAATGGAGGACATGAATTGTAACTTTCAGATTAGATTAATAATTTTGAAAGTAATTATTAGGAATACCCTGAATATTAAAATTACTAGGAATATCATTCCTTCCAAAGAATTTTCTGTATTCTAGAGTGTTATCTATGTCCTGCCCTTAGTAATTAAAGCTAGACTATCTCTAGAGGAATATTATTTCAGTTGCAGTACAATGTCTTGCAAAGCCTTGCAGGAGTTGGGAGTTGACATTAAAGCAGGACTGGGACTCAGCAGAAAGGCCTTGGCTGCCTTTGCTTGTGTTCTCCACTGTCATTACCTTTTAAAAACTGAGGGACAGAGGCAGGCCTTACCTCCTCTCATTTGGAGCTCTATCCACAATGATAGCTTTAAAATATAAACTTAATTATATTAAAATGTAGTTGTTATCTGCTGCCTAACATAGTCTTAGGAAGGTTTGAAGAGTGAAAGTGATCTGCCAGACACTTTTCATTAGAGCTACTGCTGTCACATATCTTTGGCATAGAATGTGAGCATGGGAAAGTCATGTGTGTGTATGCAGAAAGTGGAAGGTTTCATGTTTAACTGCAGTATCTCATTGTTTGAGAATATGAACTCAGCTGTTTCATATCTGTGGCCTGTGGCCCCAGAACATTATGTAATACATGCTAGATTTACTTCCTAAAGGTAAAGGAAATTACTAGACACTCATAATTTTGCTTAGAGTCCCATGAAAAAAAAGAGAGGGTGTATTTAAGACTAATACTCTTACCTGTTTAAGGACTTATTTTGATACCTACAAACTTTTTTTATTCATGTATTTGTTTTGCTTTAATAGATATTTACAAGAATTTTGAGAAGCCTGAACCTCCCGGTGGGAAGCAGTCAAGTGTTAGTCCCCAGATTTTTAACAAATGCTTATGATATAGGACATGCTGTAATATGGATCACCGCAATGATGGTTTGTATTAAACTATGTGTCCTGTAAAACTTAACTTGTATTTTCCTTAACCTTCTGACTCAAGCCTGTGTTAATAACTTGGTTGGTCACTGCTTGTTGAATAATTTTCTTTCTTCTCTTCCTCTTTCTTTTCTATGCTTTTCCCTTTCGCTCCACCCCTCACTTTCCCTTTCCCCTTTCTTTGTTCTCCCTTCCACCCCATCCTCTACCCTCCCTTCCCTCCACTTTTGCTGGGGATTGAACCCAGGACCTTGTAAATGACAAGATTCATGTATTTCTTGATGTGGTATATCTATCCATAATTCTCAGATCTGTAATGTGGTCATGACCCATCACTTATAAGTCTCCATATGGATTTCAGTGTCATCTTTCAAATATAAATACACTTTCAGAGCGGCTTTATATTAAAATTATAGAATTTATTTTAATATTTCTGTAGTTCCTTGAATTGATAATATTACTGTGAAAAATGCACAGTGTTCATACAGATTTACAGGGAGAAATTGAAACTCCCCCATTGTTACATAGAAAGAACATTAATTTTTTTTCTTAGTCTTCAAAGGAGAAAAGAATGTTTATTGTGGAGGCTCCACTGACTTGGATAATGTCGACCTTGAGTTAATTTTGCTCTGTTTTCCCACGCACTTCTCACTAGCAACTTCTTTTGTAATGTGAAAGTATAATAAAAAATGAGGTCTTCTGAAATTTGGAAATTGTGATACTGTGTTGCTGTGGAATCATTTTGGTTTCTTGAGTGGTTAACAAACATAGACATAGGCGTCATTTGAGTGGGAAGGCATGTTCTTAATGCAGTTTTTTTGTTGTTGTTTTGTTTTGTTTTGAGACTTTAGGAGAAGGTTAAGACAGGGTCTAGCTACATCGCCTTGACTAACCTAGAACTTACCGTGTAGATCAGGCTGGCCTTGAACTTGTAGTGGTTTTCTTGCCCCTGCCTGGAATTGAAAATATGAGCCAGTATACCATTCCTGAATATAATTTGATGGTTTGCCTCCTATTGGAAAGATCATTATGAGACATACTGGAGGGTTTTAGCCCATGCTATATGGCCTTTTAAATGAATGCTATTTTTTTCTTCTATTTTACCCCATTCAGTTGTTTTGTGTTTGTTTTAATAATAGATTAATAAATAAAAATATTTTCTTTTGAATTAAAATTGTTCCTCATAAAATGTGTGTGTGTTGAATAAATCTCCATGTTTCATGTTATGTTGTCATTCTTTTTTTTCTTTTTAAATTGTGTACTTGTACATGGGAGCCACAGTATCCATGTGAACATCAGAGAACAGCATGGGGTAGTCTGTTCTCTCCTTCTATCATGTGGGTCCTGGGTCAAACGTTTTCAAGCTTGAGGCAGTAATTTTTACTCAATAAGCCATTTCACCAGCCCCTATTACTGTCATCATTGAGTTTGTCAAGATGATAGTCTTTGTGTCCTTGTATGTTACTTAAGAATAGTAAAATCTGCTGTTTCCCTAAGTTGAAAGGTAGCACTTTTTCAGTTCTATAATTAGATTTAAATAAGTGTTTCTTATGTTTATTGGAATGTTCTAAACTGATGAGTGCAAAGTTCATTGGGGAGTTGTGTTTGACTTGTTTAGAGATGTAACTGTTAGGATGATGGGGACCCACATTAGAGGTTTGTATACAGAGTTTGAGTTACTGATCAATCCATATACGGTATAGTATAGGCACTAATGTTCTCTCTCTCTCTCTCTCTCTCTCTCTCTCTCTCTCTCTCCCTCCCTCCCTCTCTCTCTCTCTCTGGACAGGGTGGACCAAGTAAATTAGTACAAAAACATTTATCTGGTTTGTTTAATAGCATCACATCTTTTTATCATCCTTCAAATAATGGGCGTTGGCTGGTAAGTATGCTCAGTTCATATTGTATTATTTGAAGATTTAAGAATATATTCATATTTAACTATTGCTTATCTTAGAACTATAATTTTCCTCTCTTTGATATAAGCTTTGGCTATGTGTAAGTGGTTAGACTCATCTGTGTGTTTGAAAGACATAGAAATTAAATGCATCCCTAATAACATGGTGCTACATAGCTATTAGTGACAAAATGCTAAATATTGGCAAGGAAATGATAATAAATAATGCCACAAAAACATAGGCACATTGCTTCAATTTTATCTTGTCAGCTATTTTATTTAGCTTTGTTTTGTCTTTTAAGTTGCATGATTAACGTGACCTTTTTAAAATGTTCTTTTAAAAGTAAAAGCAAGGTAGCAAGGTACTTTCTTTCCCCCTCTTCTCTTTTAAGACAGATTCTCACTCTGTAGCCCTGACTTTCAGAACTCACTATGTAGACCAGGTTGACCTCAAATTGCTAGAGATCCCTGTGTGTCTGCCTCCTGAGTACTGAAATTAGTGCGTGCCACTATACCTGGCTAATAACTCTTTAAAATGTGAATTTAAGGCAAGGTGGGGAGGCACATTACTGTAGTCTTAGCATCCATGAGACTGCAGTGAGAAGATCACAGAGCTAGGAGGTTTTGCTACACAGTGTGACCCTGTCTAAAGGAAAATAAAACAACAATATAAATCCTTGAATTCAGAGGTCACTGATAGTTGGTATAGTAGGTTTTTCTGTGTAGTTAGAACATACAGTTCTTTGTATTCAGAGTGTCTTTTTTTTTTTCCTTGAGCAAGAGTCACCTTAAATAATATGTGTAGGAAATATCTGTGTTGAGCCTGCCTACAACCTATTGCTTCTGTGTCCCCAGAACAAGTTAATGAAACTTCTTCAGCGGTTGCCGAACAGTATTGTTAGGAGATTACATCGTGAAAGATATAAGAAGCCCTCTTGGTTAACTCCTGTGCCTGAGAGCCACAAGCTTACTGATCAAGATGTTACAGACTTTGTACAATGCATTATTCAGCCTGTCCTCTTGGCTATGTTTAGCAAAACTGGTAGTCTAGAAGCAGCCCAGGCTCTGCAGAACCTTGCACTCATGAGACCCGAGTTAGTAATACCTCCTGTGCTTGAAAGGTAAGTTCAGCTTTGTATGTTTGGTAGATGCCTCAGGCATAGCTTGCCTTCTTATGTTCTCCTTTTCTGCCTGTGGTATGTGTTTTGTGTGTTTGATATTTATATCCACCTCTTCTTAGAGAAGAAGCAAGATTTTTTGTTTAACTTGATTGAATTGTTAATTTAAAGGCTTATTGACAAGAAAAAGTTAAAATGAAATTAATAGCTTATTTTAGATCATTTGTCTATTGCATCTACCCAGGCTTTTACTCATAAATGAAGACTTTTGTTTGTATCAAACCTGTCAAATATTGAATGGAACCGAGAATCAGTGAAAAAAAATTCATTGTCTTTATTTTCATGCATTACCTGAAAATATGTCTTCAGTGTCAGTTATTACATTCGGGTTTTTTTTATGTTGAAACTACTTTCTAAAATAACATTCTACTGTGGGTTCTAGATAAGCCAGAGCTATGTAACATGAAGCCCTATCTCAAAAGAAGCAAAGGACAAAACCCAGTAACTTTTCTAGACAATAATTTTTTACATTTATGCATATTTGTGTCTGTGTGTGTCCATGAGCATGGGCTTGCAAATACCTAAAGAGGCAGAAGAGGGTGTTAGATTCTCTGGAGTTGGAGTTACAACTGGTATGGTGGGCTGCCTGGTGAGTGTTGGGAACTGAATTCTGGTTTTCTCCAAGGGTAACAAACTCTCTTAACCACTGAGCCACCACTCCAGCCTGAGAATTCTTTTCAGTTGTAAGGGGTCAGTGGTATAACTCAATAAAAGTCCTTGTCACTGAGCTAGATGACTTAAGTTCCTGGAATCCACATTGTGAATGGAGACAACTGACATACATAATTTGCCTTTTGATAACACACATGTACATACAGACCACATAAACAATAAATGTAAAAAATTAAAAAGTAAGTGGTGGTATTGGTGCATAGTTTTGGTTCCAGCTACTCAGGAGGCTAAGAAACATAGATGGCTTGAGTTTAGGACTTTGAGGCTAACTTGGGCAACTCTGTGACTGCTCTGTCAAAAATTAAGTAAAAATATAAAAATATTTTAGAGTTTTGTATTCTCAGAATAAGAGTTAAGTATTGTTCCTGCATCTTTTACAATAAAGCTTTAATCTGGGGGTTTGTTTTCTATGCTGAGGATTGAACCTGGGGTATAGACAAATGTGTCCAAGGTAAGCACTCTACCATTAAGCTACATTCCAGCCATGTTTCCCTTTGTCTGACAGGGTCTCCTTTGATAGCCCAGGCTTACCCTAAACCTTGGAATTCCCAAGTGCTGGCAATATAGATGCAAACACAAAAACTGTCTTGTTGTTTTTCTCTCTTTCTGGGGTTAGACAGATGCTCACTTGCTGCTATTCCCAGCACCCACTTGGCAGCTCACAACCATTGTGACTCCAATTCCAGGGGCATTTAGTTTTCTTTTCTGGCTTTCATGGACACTATGTATACACTTGCTGAACAAACATACCTACAAGCAAAACACCTGTACACATAAATAAAGATTATTAAATATGAAAATATTTAATGACACTACATAAATAGATACTAAGATATCTTTGCATTTTTCTCCCCTACAAAGTAGATTTTTCAGAGGAAAATAATTGAAGTTCTGGGTAAAGTTCCTAGGAATCCAGTTACCTGTAACACCAGCTTTGGGAAGTCAAGGACAGGAAGATCCTTGTGACTTGTGTTTGGCCAGTGTAGCAATTAGCCAGCTCCAGTTTCAGTGAGACCCTGTCTCAGAAGATTAAGGTGGGAAGATGTGGCTTGCTTGGTAGAGTGCTTTGTTAGCACACACAAAGCCATGAGTTCAGTCCCGAGCACTACATATAAAACCTGACATGGTGGCACAAACTTGTAATTCTTTAGGACAAAGTGATGAGAAGATCAGAAACTCAAGATCATCCCCTGCTGCATGAGATCCTATCTCAAAAAAAGAGACTAAGAGATTTTTGGGGTTTTTTTTTTCCTAACAGGATTGAGTAGATTTTTTTTTTTTTTTTTTAATTAGAAACAAGATTATTTTACATGTCAATCCCAGTTCCCTCCTCCTCCCCTCCTCCCTTGCCACCCACCAACTAAAACCCTACCCATCACTTACCATTTTTGCTCCCCAGGGAGGGTGAGGCCTTCCATGGGGGGGGGGGTCATCAGAGTCTGTAGTATCCTTAGGGATAGGGCCTAGGCCCACCCCCATGTGTCTTGGATGAGTAGAATATTTGAACATTGTCATTCTTAGTTAAGTATGATGTGGATTAAGTTGTCTTGAAACAATAAAGGTGTCAGTTTATGCTCTTTTTCTCTGGAGTCTGTATGAAGATAAAATGAGACAGGGCTGTAGACTATGCAATAGTGTCTATACTGTTCCTTTATGTGAATAAGTCTGTTTATGTTAACAGGAACTCTCAACTCTTAAGCATTCTGCTATCTATAATACTGTAAGTCAAAATGCAGCCAATGAACTTAGTATATTTAACATTTAAACTGTATTTTCTTTTAAACTATAGAACATACCCTGCTTTAGAGACATTAACAGAACCTCACCAGCTCACAGCTACTTTAAGTTGTGTAATCGGAGTAGCCCGAAGTTTGGTATCAGGTGGCAAATGGTTTCCTGAAGGTCCAACACACATGCTACCTCTGTTGATGAGAGCATTGCCTGGGGTGGATCCAAATGACTTTAGTAAATGCATGGTGAGCATATTGGCTATTATGTTTTGTAGCAGTTTTTATTTAAATGGACATCTTCTTTCTCTTTAGTTAGAGGTCTTTAGATGATAATATAACTCAATATCATATCGTGGCACAGTAACATTTGTAAATGCTTAAGTTGAGATTTGTGCACAACTAATTTATATAATGCCTTGCTTTATAAGTAATTTTCCTTAGTCTACACATTTTTAATAATGTTTTAAAATTCATATATTTGCAGTGTCTTATCTTAGATATACTAAAAATTGCAGGTGGGCATCTGTTGCCCCCTTTTTTTATCTACATGGGTAAAATGATGAAAAGTTACAGAATACAAAAACTGCATGGTAGTAGACACCCAAAGTCCAAGCACTTGGGAGACTTGAGTCAAGTTTGAGACTAGCCTGGGCTACATAGTGAGACTATGTCTCAGAATAGAAACAACCCCTTCTTCCAAGAACAACAACAGAAAAATTAATAGGATATATAATTCTATCTCCTACTTCTACGCATTTTCTCCCAACTTACTATTTTACTCTATTTCTTCTTTCCTGTTCTTGGAAATTTTATCATTTCCCTGTAATGTTACATTTTCAGGTGGAAGACATAATAATTTCTCAGTGACAAAAGATTGGAGAACTGTGTATATAGTTCTCATATAAAATGGGGATAAATTAAAGTAACAGCTAGTTAAATTATTAAGAACCTTAAAATATTTATTTTTAGAGTTAAGGGTAGTGGCTTACTCCTATAGTCACAGCATCTGGGAAGCCGAGATAGGAAGACCACCATGAATTTTGAGTTTATCCTTGGCTGCATCGTGAGTTGCAGGTTTGTTTGAGTTAGTTAACCCTTACCCCAAGACAAAAATTAACTCCAAGTGAAAAATATCTAGAAAGATTAGTCTTTCCTTATTAGTCTCCCTTAAGATCATTTGAATATTTGTACTTAGCTTTTGGCATAACTTGTGCTGAAATAGAATTATATAATGTTGAAAATTCTTTGTCTCTTCCCATAGATCACATTCCAATTTATAGGAACATTTTCTACTCTGGTGCCTTTAGTAGATTGTTCATCTGTACTGCAAGAAAGAAATGACCTCACAGAAGTAAGGATGCTTTCTGGCTGTAAAAGGCTTAACCGAAATGTGTTATAATAATCTTTGATTCTTCAAAACTGTTTTGGATAGATTCTAGAGAGTATAATTACTAAAGAATAGGGAAGCTGGGTGCAATGGTACACACTAGCAAAACCAGTGCTCAGAATGTTTAGAAAACTATTACATTATTACGGCCCTCTCTCAAAAATTGAATAAGAAATCTTGAATAAAAAGTGGTACAGTGTTTGCCTATTATGCATGAGGAGCTGGGGTCAATCCCCATCACAAATTTGTTTTTGTTTGTTTGCTTTTTTTTTTTTTTTTTTTTTTTTTAACTGCAATTGATTTTCTGTGACTCTGGGGTTGGTATGACTAGGAAGGAACCGTGCCATCTCTGTTGGTAAGATAGCTGTAGCACCCACCCTAGGAAGTGTGGTAAGTAGGCCATTTCTCCTTGGATCTGCTTAAAATAGCCTTTCCCGGGACCAGTGGTATTTAACAAAGAGGTTTTCTTCATTGCTGTGACTATTAAAGAATTGTTAAGAAGCATAGAATAACTGAAGTTCACTAAAAAGAAAATCATTTACTCTATCTCTTACTATAAATAAGAAATGCCCAATAATCTTAGGAATTATAGATAGGAACTAAGTACTTGGACCAGTGAGATACCTCAGCTGGAAAAAGCATTTGCTAAGCAAGCCTGAATTGGATTCCTTGAACCCATGTAAAGATGGAAGTTGAGAAGTGACTTTATAAAATTGTCCTCTGTCCTCTATACATATGTCAAAGCACATGTGTATACACAATTTCAAAAAAATTGAATATCACTGAAACTAAAGTTAGAGCCTTTAACTACACAAAAAACAACATGCCAATCTGGGAGATTGAACAAGCCTAATTCCCCACGTTCCTACTGAAAGATCCTAGCAAAGATACTTCATTGTCAGGACCTGTCTAGGTACAGATAAGTCCTGTATATCATTACCTCAAGGAATCACTCTTTATGACTGATAGGCACAAGCCAAACAGGAAGCTGATAAGTCTAAGATTAACATAGTTTCTCGTAATTCTTGGTTAGGGAAGGTTGTCCATATTTAATGGTATCCTGCTCTACTAGACACTAGTAGCACCAGCCTAACCCACCCTCCATTGTGAAAGCAATGTCCTAAGGTTGTCAAGTGTCTTTTCTTTTTTGTAAGCATGTTGTTACTTGTATCATTTGGATATGTGAAGTAGTATAACACTGACCTTTACAGCTTTATAAGCACTATGAAAATTGGGATTGATAACAAAGCTGGTTGCCTTGATTCAAATAAGGTATCAAAGTGACTTTGACTTAGTATATTTAGTTACCATGTTTATCATAATATCCAAAACAAAAAACTTGTGCAGGAATTTTTTTATTAGGCCATAATTGAATCTTATTAGTTCAGAGGGAAAAAAGTTAAAACATATTTATAATTTTTTTCCACATTGCAATGTTATAGATCGAAAAAGAACTTTGTTCGGCCACAGCTGAATTTGAAGATTTCGTCTTACAGTTTATGGACAGGTATTCAATAACTCAGTCCTGATCTTTTCTCTGATAGATTTAAAAGAGGGTGGGATGTGTGTGGGTCTTTCCTAGAAGCGGTTTCTTTCTGTGCTATAATCTTTCACTTAGATTTTACTCAAAGCTGAAGCTGGTAATGTGGGGGGGGAAAAATCAGAGTATTTAGAGTCATGAAGAAATTGAGGAGTAAGAACAATAAAGGTTTGCCTGACTGTCCACAGTTTTTTTGTTCCTAAAATATGTTTTCTTTGTATGTTTTAGATGCTTTGGACTAATAGAAAGTAGCACATTGGAACAAACAAGGGAAGAAACAGAAACGGAGAAAATGACTCACTTGGAGAGTTTGGTTGAATTAGGTTTGTCTTCCACATTTAGTACAATCCTCACACAGTGTTCCAAAGAAATATTTATGGTAAGAGCATTACTACAAAAAGTCACTCCAATCATTATTATTTAATTGATGTTTTTGCATTGAATGTCAGCTCCTTTAAGTATATATACGTTGCCAGTTCATCTTTTATTCTCAACTGAAGGTTTTAAAAAACATTTTGGGTTCCCATTGCAAAGTGTCTGCAGATAAACTTGCTTACAGAAATCATTGTGTGTGCTAAGAGGTAAATAGATTCTGTTATTTGCCATGAATTCCTCTCCACAGACCATGTGCAGCCACAAATGTGACCAACTTCGTTTGTATTTTGCATTTTCAAACCTAGCTTTAGTGACTCTGCAGTTTAAAACTGAAGTGTGATGCATGAGTTCTAATGTTCCAGGCATAAAGAGTTGTACTAGCTGAACAAGTGTGAGTTATTGTTGACTTGGAATCATCGTTAATGAGTTACAGTAAATAGTGTCTGTAAAGAAAAACATACTGCAAGAGGATTACCAATTTCTCAGTTGATGAGGACAATGTGATGTTACAATTTCCTTTAGGAGCAGTGGGTATTTGCTGTATAGTTCAGATTGGCCTTGAACTTGGCATCTTTCTACATTCCTCAAGTGCTCAGTTTATAGGGGAGTGTCATTTTGCCTGACATTGACTACATTTCTAAAATTTGTAATTTAAAGTAATTAATGAGAAAAGTTTTTAAAAGTATACCATCACATAATAGGAATTTATCCTCAATATAATAATCTTATGGTGGATTAGAAGTGATGTCCTTCTAAAGTATAAACATCCATTTGCCTGACAGTGTTTCATACCTGTAGGTATATGGTTCATAAATGACTATTTCTGTTTCTGCTGCTTTCCTCCCTTCACTTGAGATTTTCAGTATTTAACATGATTGTCCTGATTAAAAGCTAAGCTATACTACACCTATTGTGTAGTACTTTCTAGGAATATGAGTATAGGTTAAGTTTAGTAATACACACTTAACACACCTAATGTCATCCTAACATTTTTTGTTGTTGTTGTCTTGCTTTTTGAGACAGGTTCTCACTATGTAGCTCTGGCTCTCCTGGAACTCACTATATAGACCAGGCTGCCCTAGAACTCAACAGACCTGCCTGTCTCTTGCCCCCCATCCTCATGCTGGAATCAAAGGCATGAGCTGGTACACCCAGCTTTAATCATAGCATTTGAGAGGAGGATGTAGGAAATATAAGAATTCAGGGTCATTTGCAAGCCAGTGTGGCCACATGAGACCCTTTTTCAAACAAAAACAACAAACAGTAAAACAAAACACAAAAACAGCAACAAAAGGAGACTATAGAGAATCTAAAGAATTGAACATAAACTATCTCTTGACAAGACTTGTTTCTGACTTTTGGTATTTGTTCATTCACTTCTTTATGTAGGTTAATATATTTTGCATTGTTGTAATATTAAATAGACTGGTTCAAGTCTTTTTGGGTTTTTGTTTGTTTTTGTGATAGGTCTTTGTTCTGCACCCCAGGCTGGCCATGTATCTCAGGCTGGTCTGAATATATAATGATCCTCTTGTCTCAGGTTCCATCTTGCTGGGATTATGAAACATGTCTCACACTTGGCATGTTTCTATTCTTTAAAAAGTATATAATTGTCAGAATGACAAATTTTAAGAAAATTACTCACAAACTTTTCTGTTCTGTTGTATTTAACTATTAAGATGATTAAATTGGTTCCATCTGCTGTAATGGCACATAGGATTTCTATTTCAAACCAACTTTTGCTCTTCAAATGGTTTTTGTTTGTCTTTTAGCTTTTTCCTTTTTTTGCCTGCCTTCCTCCCTTTTGTGTGTGGGTGTGTGCATGTGGAGGTCAAATGCATGTGGAGGTCAAATGTTATCTCTTTCTACAGTGTGGGTTCTGGGAATGTGACAATCACCTTTACCTGCAGAGCTGTCTTGTCAGCCCCCTCAAGTATTTTAAGTTAGACTCCTCCACAGAGACTATATTAGACCTGGATGTAATCAATGGCTAATTTTTACTTCTTGGTTACTGTTGGAATAGTTTAAGTATTATTTTCTTTAATGTTTTACAAGATGGTTAATTACACTGATTGGGTGTTTTCATATCTTTTGTATCAACAGGTTGCCCTTCAGAAGGTCTTTAACTTTTCTGTTTCACATATATTTGAAACAAGAGTTGCAGGTCGCATGGTGGCAGACATGTGCCGTGCTGCTGTAAAGGTAAGTTTCTTTTGCTTTTTGCTGTTGATACTGTGTCTTGCTTCATAGCCCAGGTTGGCCTCAAACATTCTGTCTTCCTACCCAGCTTCTTGGGTGACGGGCATGGGGTTAGTTATTTCATCAGTACTTGCTACTAAGACACATTGCTCTTGCCAGTGAAAATAGTACTGCTTCATATTTTGTGACTGTTGAGTATTTACTTTACCAAAGGGGGAAAAAAAATGACACCTTATTTATACAAAACATTTTCAGTGCTGCCCAGAAGAATCCCTGAAGCTCTTTGTTCCTCACTGCTACGGTGTTATAACTCAGCTTACAATGAGTAAGTCAGAAAAATGAAAACATCATTCTTCTATCTGTGTAATTTTAGATATAGTTTTTCTTCACTCCTAGAACTCAGTTAATATTTATATTTTTATTTGTTACCTGTTTGTTTGTTTTTAGAGAAATGTCTCTCTATGTAGCCCTGGCTGTCCTGGAGCTCACAGAGATCCATCTCCCTCTGCTTCCCCAGTGCCAGGATTAATGGTTTGTGCTGCCACCACTTGGTTATTATCTTAAACATTGATTTCCATTTCCTTTGTAGTGACTTCACTTTTATCAAGACTTAAGTCTCCCTGAAAGATTTTTCTGAACTATTAGGAATGTAAAATAGAAATATTTTAACATAAAATATCCAGTGGGCTCATGATTCTTTTCTGGTGCTATTTTGCCATTTTAGATGATGATGTATTAAAGGAAGAGGAGCTAGATAAGGAGTTGCTGTGGAACCTTCAGCTTCTGTCTGAGGTAATTGTTTGGAAGGAAGTGTTTGCTTGCTTCTAGAGTTTAGTCTTTTTTTGTTGTTAGGTTGATGGTAAGGCATATGAAAAAGCCAGATATTTGGGGACTTTTGTTGTTTTAATGAGAGTAGGTCTCGTCATATTTCCTACACCCGTCTGGAACTCATGGTAATCTTTCTTTCTTTCTTACACTCATGCTGGGATTATAGGCATGCATCAGCAGGCCCAGGCGTCTATTATGGTGAAATTAGATGAAAATGTTCCCAGTCCACTTTTTTATTAAAAGATAAATAATTTATTAGTTAGGAGTTTATCAGATTTGGAATTTTTATTTGTGTTCATTTTATTTTTATGGATTTTTGTTGCTTTGTGTGTTTTTGTTTTTTGAGACATGGTTTCTGTGTAGGTCTGACTGTTCTGAAACTCAAATCTATAGATCAGGCTGGCCTCAAGCTCACAGAAACCCTACAGCATCTTCCCCCGGGAGTTCTGGGATTAAAGTTTTGAGCCACCATGCCCAGCTCATTGTTTGTTTGGGGGGGAGGGGGAAGGGACAACGGGTTGTCAATATATAGCCCAGGCTGGCCTCAGACTCACAGAGATCTGCCTGTCTTTCCCTCTGGAATGCTGGGATTGACAGTGTTTGTGTGTACCACCGTGCCTGACTTGACTATCTTTTACATTAAAAATTTGATTGCCAATCAAACTTGAATTTTCATTATGAGATAGTTTAGAAATTTAAGTACATAGTTTTTGTTTTGTTTTGTTTTTTAAGATATGGGTTTTTTGAAAGGGATCTTGGCATGTGAAAGCATAAGGTTAGAAGATGTGGTTTGATTTTAAAAAGTTAATTGTTAAGATATAATTAAAAATTACATTTCTGAAATGATTTAAAGTCATTTGCAGAAACCTTTTTTAAAGCTATTGTGATGTCAAATACCAAACCTTGAATTGATTATTGATTCTAGACTTAAAACCAGTGCCTTCGAGGTTTTTTGTTTGTTTGTTTGTTTGGTCTTTGTTTTTTGAGATAGGGTTTCTCTTCATAGGCCAGGCTATCCTGGATGCAACTTGATCTGTAGACCACGATGACCTGAAACTCACAGTATACCTGCTTCTGCCTCCTGAGACTCTGCGCCACCACTGCCTAGCTGCCTTTGAGTATTTTTTTCCTGTCTTTTCAGATTACTCGTGTGGATGGGAAGAAGTTGCTTCTGTACAGGGAGCAGCTTGTGAAGATTCTCCATCGAACCCTACACCTGACCTGTAAGCAGGGCTACACACTGTCTTGCAACCTTCTGCATCATCTTCTTCGTTCTACCACACTAATCTACCCCACAGAGTACTGCAGTGTGCCGGGTGGCTTTAACAAGCCACCTTCTGAATACTTCCCTATCAAGGCAAGCATTTTCAATCATTTAGGATTAAAAAAATCTATTAGGTTCTTTTTCTAAGTAATTCAGAGATACTGTTTTTCCTTGCCATGTATGAAAATATCAGGTCTTTTGAAGAAGTTTGGTTTATTGAGTGTGGGTATTTTGTCTGTGTGTATGTCTGTAAACCATATGTGTTCCTGCTGCCTACAAATGCTAGAAGAGGGTATCAGATCCCCTGGAACTGGAGTGGCAGAGAGTTGTGAGCAACCACATGGATACTGGAAACAAGCCCCTGTCCTCGGGAGCATTCAATGCCCCAGTTCTTTATATTAAAGTACATTGTTTATAACTGTTATTGGAGGGCTGGAGAGATGGCTCAGAGGTTAAGAGCACTGACTGCTCTTCCTGAAGTCCTGAGTTCAATTCCCAGCAACCACATGGTGGCTCACAACCATTTATAGTGGGATCTGTTGCTCTCTTCCTGCATGCAGGCATACATGCGGGCAGAACACTTTATACATATAAATGAATAAATCAAAACAAAAAGCCCTCTTACTGGAATGTGTTAGACTCATGCATTTTAATTTGTCATGGAGCTAAACCTCTACCCTCTCTTTCTGCTACATAGCCTAGGATGGCTAGAAGTTGTATCTTCTGTGTCAGCTCCTCCTGTGCTCTATTAGATAGTTGCTGTGCATCACCATGCCTGGACAGTTTTCTACCTTTCTGCAGTGTCTGGGTCACACCTAACCTAAATAATTATATCTAATTTCATCCTAAACTAGCTTACTGTAAACTTTCTTTCTCTCCTGCAGGAAATGCATATTAAGTGTCCTGTAGGGAGACATTTTACAGGAGCAATAGTAAAGGAGTAATGATATTTTCATTAGTCTTTTTTGCATGTATTGACATATTACTTCTGCTGCTTTTAAACTTTATAGGTATTGTGTATATGTTTTTGTTAAACTTTACAGCTTAATGAAAAGCTTCTCGTTTCTAGGACTGGGGTAAGCCTGGAGATCTGTGGAATCTGGGGATCCAGTGGCATGTTCCTTCTTCAGAGGAAGTCTCTTTCGCCTTCTATTTGTTAGACTCCTTTCTTCAGCCTGAACTCATCAAACTCCAACGTTGTGGGGATGGAGAACTTGAAATGTCTAGGTTAGTTTTCTTCAAACTTCAGTGCCTGCAGCAACCTCTGTATATCTGATACATCTGTCTACTTTTTTAAAAAATCTTTTTTGAAAGGTATATTTTATTTTATGTATATTAAGCGTTTTGCCTGGCCACCGAAGTCACAAGCTTTTGGAACTGGAACTGGAGTTGATGGTCATGAGCCACAATGTGGGTGCTGGGAACTGAACCCAGGTTCTCTGCAAGAGAAGAAACAAGTACTCTTAAGCCATCTCTCTGAGCCATCTCTGCAGCTCCATGATATATAACATATTCAATGTTTGTTTTGAAAATATGCATTAAGTGTACTGAGAAAAACATTGAACACTATAATAAAATTCATCGGTGTTGAAACTGGGGTTTTTGTTTTTTGGTTGTATAAGGCTTTGTTTTGGTTTTTGAGACAGGACCTCTTATAGTCAAAGCTGGCCAGTGATGACTCTAAACCTCTAATCCTGCTGCTTCCATTTCCCAAGTGTGTCCTACCATGCCCAAATTGTACAATGTTGGGGATCAAACCCAGGACATCATGCTAGGCAGTCACTGTGCCTACCATCTCAGCCCCATATAAACATTTTAGGTTTTTGATACTGTTTGTTTGTATTTTCTTTTTTCTTTTCTTGTTTTATTTTGAGACAGGATCTCACCATATAGACCATGCATGCTGTACGAAGAGACCCACCTGCCTATGCGTCCCAAGTTCTGGGAGTAAAGGCGTGCGCTACCGCCACACTAAACCCATCTAACCATTTTAAATAGAGAAACTAATTCCCATCTTAACCTCCCAGTTTTTGACAGAAACACTTGTACTTAGTGATTTCAGGTGCTTATTTTGGAAACTATAGGTAAGGTGTAGCCCCTTGAAGGTACCTACCTAGTCTACTGAATATTGGATTTATTGCTTCTTTTTAGTAGCTCTCATTGTTGACATTGAGCTTACTTAACTGAGATTTTCTTTCTTTTCTATAGCAATTTCACAAGAAACGGGTTATTTTTTAATCTTTTATGCTTTTATAGTTTGAAGTTTTGACGATTACTAAAATAATAGCAAGAGATTTATAGTGTGTGCCAAATGCCAGAAATCTTTAATAGACATAAATAAGGACAGATTTGGAGGAAGAAATCTGACTAACAGTGACTTATGCAATATGCTAAACTCCTTTTTGGAAGCAAAAGTGTAGCTAGATTTTTGGGTTTTTTTTTCTGTTTTCCAATTCCATGTTTGAAATTTGAAGTAAAGTAGACATTTTTGCCATTGTTTCTTGTTAGTAGTAGTAGCTATCTTTGTATTTATTAAATTAAAATTAAATTAAAATTTGCTTCTCAGAGTGCAGTTAATTGTTACTTGTGACTAATTATTTAAAACCCATTTAAGTGACAAAGGTCTGTTATTAGCACTAAATATATTTGTTGTATCTCTAACATATTTGTAAAACTGATATTTGTTGTGTCCATGACCATTAGATACTAAGTTTTTGTTCTTTTCTCTAGACTCTAGAAGTCTTGTTAAAAATGAATTAGGAACCTTCTAAAATATGACAATATCTTTTGTGTTGTATAGAGATGATATTCTACAGAGTCTGACTATAGTACACAACTGCTTGATTGGCTCAGGGAACCTCCTACCTCCTTTGAAAGGAGAGCCAGTTACTAACTTGTAAGTAAAAAACAAACCTTCCTGTTTTGCTCTTTTGCCATTTGACATATTTTAAGTTTACCTATTTCATAGGCTACTGCTATTGCTCTTGATATTGTTTTTGAATTGTATTAATATTTTATATTTTTAGCTCTTAGGGCAAAAATACCTAAGGTATAATTTAGGTAATTCTTAAAGGGTTTATACAGATTTTTATATGATAGCAAGATAGATGTTTAGATGTTAATACATTTAAAAACAATATTTAGGAGGTAATAATTTAGGATTAATATACTTCTTTTTAAACAAGCAAGCTAACAAAACCATCCCTATTTTGCCAGCAGTGAGCATTGACCTAGAATCCTGTAGATGAGTGTTTTTAGTAACAGTTTCTTCAGTGTTGCTCTTTGGTACATCATGTAGAAAGTTTAACCCTTTCACTGGCACTGCCATCAGGGCAGCACAAAATGGAGGTGCCATGACATGACATGACACTACATGCGCTTGGCATGAAGGGTTAGCAGCTGGATCTTAGCTCAGTGTTCTGAATCCCCAGCATCTGTCTCATTGCTGAGGAAGTTAATGAAACCACATAGGAATGAGCAGATAGCTTCCCTGGGATGGGAGAGATTATTTGCTTGGTTTTTTGTTGTTGTTGTTGTTGTTGTTCTTTAATTGAATCACAAAAGGCTTTGAGGTAAGAGTAGTTTAAACAGGCCGTGACCATATTTTGTATAGTCATTTGAATTTATACTTTCCAAACATAATTGTCTATTATTTCACCCAAAAAAATATTTATTACTGAACTTTAGAGTGTTAAGTTTAAAAATAATAGTTTTATGTTAGGACGGAAACTCTGACTTGCTGTGTCTTTAAAAGAAAAAGTATAGATTTTTACCCATTTATTGTATAGTTGGATACAAGAACAATTCTACTGATACTTGTTTTTATTAAAAAGATTAATTTCAAATATATTTTAAAATGAAAGCCCTTTGAGCCTTTTCTCTTCAGTGACCTTAACCCTGTACCATATTGTAAAAACATCCTTGTATAGCACACACAAACTATCTCATGCTTACCACATTTGGGTATCAGTAGAACTCTACAGAATGTGTTAATAGGGAGAATTGTGACCATTTAAAGCAATAATTTGTCTTAAAAGCTCAAACATGTGTTTTATGCTGGTTGGGATATAGTGGTAAATGGCCAGTTGAGCAGGCTCACATGTTTGCCTTGCAGTTCATCTCAGCATGTAGCTCTGCCATGTATGCTCTCATAATGAATTGAGGCAAGTCTTCATCTTTCTTTCTGGGATTTTCTGTTTGGTTGGTTGGTTGGTTGTTTTTGTTTGAGATTGAGGTCTCACTCTGTATCCCTGGCTAAGCCTGAGACTCACACCAGTGCTTCTACCTTAAGTCTCCAGAGTTTTGGGATTACAGGTGTGAGCCACCAAGCCTAAGTTTTCTTTTTTGAAGTAAACTTTGATCATGACAAAAGTTCCTTATAACCCAGATTCAATGGTTCACACATGTAATCACGTATGTATCCGAGAAGCTGAAGAAGGAGAATTGCAAGTTTGAGGCCAGCTTGGGATGCATAGCAAGATTTTGTTTGAACCTTTCTCCCCCCCCCCCCCAGGAAAATTCCTATACTTGTTTATTAGAATACTGATTTGATTTCTATATAATGATATGCCTTTTACTAATAAAGTCATTATATTAGTAAATACATGGTAACAACACTATTTAAATTATAAAATTGACACTGAGTTCTACTCAGGGGTTTCCACCAGAAATATTTCAGACTGAAAAGTTTTCTGCTTCAGATTTTTCAGATTTAGCCTGGCATGGTGGCTCATGCCTTTAATTATAGCACTCTAGAGGCTGAGGTAGGATGTTGGAAAATTGAGGCTGGCATAGTGAGACTTTGTCTCAGAAAAAGAAAAATGGGGGTAGGTGGAGGCAGAAATCTTCACTTTTTGGGTAAAAATGTAATACAAAATATTATGAAATCATATAAAACACATTGAATATGTGTTTTTAAAATCTAATTTATATTTTAAAACATGGGCTCTGTATTTATGCAGAATAATAACTAGATTATTTAGAGTTAGAAACAGATTATCATCTCTTTGATTTAAATTGCAAAGCAAGAACTTAAACTCTTTGTTTTATTATTTTATATGTATGGGCATCAGATTTCCATGGAAGTGGAGTTATAGACAGTTTTGAGCCATCACATATATGGGTGCTGAGATTTAAACCCAGGTCCTCTGAAAAAACAGCCAGTGCTCTTATCTACCAAATGGGAATTTTTTTTTTTTTAAAGTGCACTTTCTGTTGACTTTAAGTAGTTCTTAACAGAGTCTTCCCAATGATAACTTGTATTGTCTTTATCCAAAACTGTGAAGAATAACTTTGTGCTCGTATTTCCTGTGTGCATCATTTCCATTTGCAGAAAGTAAATGAATCTAAAACTAATAAAAAAGTCTTTAAAATTTCTAAAGTGCTTATTTTCCTGTAGTAAAATAGTTGTTTAAAATTTTCCAAATTTAAATTGAGAAAACAAAAGTTACTGGCTATATACATCCTGTAACAAGAAGTGACACACTGAGTGTGAAGAGTGACCAGAGTGTAATTCTTAAGAGATTGTCAGCAGATTAAAGCTGAGAGAACTGAGGTAGAGTTTTAGTCTGTAGGGAATGAAGGGAAACACAGATATGGGGGAGAGAGTGGATCAGAATAATACCTCAGCTGTCTGTAATCTCTTGTTAGCTTTACTAAGTTAAATTCTAAAACACCAGATCAATTTTGGGAACTATTTACAATTCAAGCATTATTGTTCAGTTTGTACTTAAATTTTTCATCCAATTCTTGGTTATATAAAATGTTTCATTCTGTTACGCTCCAAGTCAGATTCCTTAGTATCAGATTTGCTTTCTGTATTTGTTACCAATATAGTATTTGTCCTCTGGAAAACTGATGAAAAAACACAAACTTTACTTCTATGTTTCTAATGAAGTTTATGTGGTGATCTTAATTTCACTATTGGTGAAATGGCTACTAAATGCAAAACTTTTTTTTCTTACGCTACTCAATGAGTGACAGACAAATATAAAAAGCTAAATCCAAAGTATAAAAATAAATGATGTACCATATGTAGGACCCTAAATACCTTTAATTATCATTAAGCCTTCAAGTGTCAAAATATAGATATGATAAAAGGTCCTTGAGGGTAATAAAGTCTAAAAATCCTGTCACTTTAATACAACTTGAAGTTTTAGCAGTTATTCTCATTGCCATGCATTGTTGAATGAATCTTAGAATGGAATCTCTCCTTGCTTTGTTCCTGGGACTATTCCTGCAGTAGTTAGGACATACAGCTACCTGTATACTGAAAATTGGATTATGTCTTTCCATTGTCACACAGAAACTTTGGACATTTGCCTTTAATCCTGAAACCCTCAGTTTTCTCCTTTTTCAGTCCACTTTCTGTTATGATCCTTTAGGTCTAACCAACTATTACAGGATGCAGAAACTAACATCTAAAAAACAGGGTTACTCAAGGTAGAGGAGTCACCATTTTCATCTCAGAATACTTCCTTTACTTCCTTTTCCTTTCTTCTGATCTGTTACATTATAGTCAAATCATTCTTTGAGATCTCAGCTTTTACTAACTGTCCACTCAAAAAAATTCTTACCGTCTAAGCTTGAGACCATTTCATTGATGTGTGAAAGGATGTGTTGTGTATACAATGAGGGGCAGGGCTAGCTAACCTCTCTTGGCACCTCCAGGAAACTACCCAGCACTGCTGGGGAAGCTGCACACAGAACAGGAAACAGTTACTACTCCACGGTGAGTAACCCTGTTTTCTCCTTATTTCGCCTTGTGATTATTTTCTTTTTTTCTTTTTTTCTTTTTTTTTTTTTTTTTAAGCTTTGAATGTCAGACATGAAAATCTATTCTCACAGTTACTTTTAAGTCTCCAGTATGTAAAGTTTCTTTTAGCAACTCTCTGTTGGCATGGTAGCATAGAGGAGCATTTCAGTTGTGTTATTTTCAGCTGTTACTGATACAGAGAGCTGGGTACACAGAAATGGCCACCTGTCTCTTGTGAAACACTTGTACATTAAGGGGGGAAAGCTGCTGGTAGCTTGATATATTTATTTTATTCAGGGAAGGGAGGGGGTTCTTGGGAAGAAGGCAAGGTGTTCTTTTACTTGCACACTAGAAGACCTGTGTATAATATTGTTTGTGCCTATTTCATGACAATTGATGCAGTCTTTGTACATACTTGTATATTTTGCTTTTATGTTTTTGTCATTTCTTTATGGTTCTAGCATCCTGTTTTCTACCAGTGACTATTGTTCTAATTCTACCTTAGGAAGATTGCCATCTAGTGGTGCAGATAATGTGGTAGTAACCCAAAGTCCAAGATGTTTTGTTATAAGTTGGGTGACCTGGTCTAGGAACAATGGAGCTGATTTTACTTCATTATTATTACATATGTAGAGCTGCTTACAGTGTGTTATGTTGGAATTATTTTTTTAGAATTATGTTTCTTTCTCAAAACATAATATATGGAACTTAAACTACAGATTTTGCTTCTATTGTTTTTTGTTTATTTGTTATGTTTATGTAACCCACGCTGGCCTCAAACTTGAGGTGATTCTCCTGCCTCAGCTTCCTGAGTATATAGGCACGTACTACCTCATATGACTATATATACTTGTTAAGAAACATTTGCTGTAAAATATGTCAAACCAACTAAAGTCTATTTTGTGATAGGTAGAAA